AGAACTCTTCAGTATCTTCCAGTAGCTTCATGCCCAGCTGAATTTGGTTTGGTACCCTTGTTGAAATCTTTAGGGACTTAAACTCATCTATCTGTATGTTTAAGAAGAGAAGAAGAAAAACACCGGATTGTTTTCAAGAGGGGATTTACTGGCATGGTGTTGCATGGGAGGAGCACCTTCAGCATCCTCTGAAGTTCTCATTGGCACTGTGACACTTGGTGCAGGCAGCCCCTCTGGCCTTGGGAGATTGTGGTGGTGGAATATGGAACATGTAGGCTTACTAATGACTCAGGTCTACCAAGGAAAGTGGGAGTAGGGGGGTTCAAATTTCATGACACCACTAACGTTTTGGCAAAAAAAAAGTTTAATAGCTCAGTACTCTGTTAAAAAATGATTAAAGAAAAAAAAATATTGTGGTCTATATAAAACTGATTGTAAGTGATTCTCCAACTACTTTGTAATGTGTTTAGAGTTAGGTGTCCTGTTTGTTTTGAGAGCTACCTTACTAAAGGACTTGTTAATGTAGCCCAATTTCCTCAAATTCAAATTAAAAAAAAAAATCCTTCTTTCGTTTGGAGAAAGTAATGGATTTTGAAAGAACCAAATCAACACTGATTTGGAAATTGGGTCATTTTGCATAGGGGAGCAATCAGCATTTTAATTAGCAACTTCAGGGTTTTTTTCCCCTTAAATTGATACATTCTGGCTTATTTCTACAGTTGTTTGTTCCTTCCTCTTTTTTTGCTTGGAAATTAATCATGCAGGAAATGATTGACCGCAGTGAGCTTGTCTGTCTGCCTCTGACTCAATGTTTAAGAGGGAGGGCCTCCAAGCAGCTCAAAATGTCTGACCAGATACAAACCACGCACTTGCAGTGTGGTTGTTCACACTGTCTCTCCCACAAAAAGGTCACGTTTCTTTTTGTTTCTTTTTAGCATTTGTAATGCTCTTGAAATTATTTCTGAGATACCAAATTAAGCCTGAAGTGCATTGTGTAGTGCCACTTTTGCCCATTGCTCACCTAGACATAACGTTTCTATATAGCTCCTTAAAAGATGTGATCGTTTGCACTGGTGCCTAGAAAATACATTAGGACATGTGTCCTAGGTTTTCAAGTGCCAATACATCTTCAGCCTTGGTCTTTTGGAACCAGTTCCTTTTCAACAACCCTGCAGCACCAAGCATTATAAGAAACTTGGTTGTTAACAAATTTGGTGGGTAAAATTTATTACTAGGTGGACTGATTACTATTTCAGATATTTTATAGTGTCAGTCGTTAGCAATTTAACATAATAGCCTTTTCTTGAATTCAGCTCTTTCCCACTGACCCAAGAGCAAATAATGATGTGAATCCATTGCAGAAATATAGGACAGTAACCAAAGCTTTCCTCTAATGGCAGAGTTGCACTTAACGTCTCAGGACATCTTTATGCTCTGTGAGAAACAGTCATCCTGTGAGTTGGTCAACAAAGCAGCTGCAGAGCTCGAGTTCAGTATTGTGCTAACTCAGCTGTTTTGGTTTGCAGCCCAAGAGGTACTGTCCTCCCAAGGGCTACTCCCAGCACTACCCTGTGCTGTGAGAGCAAGTCACCAGGTCACCGCATCTCTTCAAACCATTGTTATTCTTCATATAGGCTTATAGTGAGCAAATTTTAAAATCCAGAGAGCATCTCTTTTTTTTTTTGCTTACAGTGAGTTAGACAAAGAAATAGATTGTACAAAATCAAACAACTAAATAGCGAGGATGAATTGGCGTTTCAAAGACAGAGGTGCTGTTTATTCCTGCAAAGTTTCAGCTTGAGTTTCTAAAAATATCTTTTTCATCAGCAGAAGTAGAGTCAGAGTGAGAAATGAGTGAAGCAGTATTTCAACCTAGGTTTTAAACTAAAATTTGACAATCTGGGGTGTTTTATGGGCTCTGTAACTGTATGCATGATAAGTTTTTGTGTGGGCACACAGGTTTCTCAGTCACGCCATGTGATCTCCTAAAGGAAGTGTGTGCTCTAGAGCACCATGAGTAAACAACCTGCAGGATGCTCATGTTAAACTTCAGGCCAGCTTTGTCAGAGTTTGGCTTATTACAGAAGCTTGTCCTGTGCTTCCAAAATGTTGTTTTCCAGCCTGTCTCTGAGGGCTATAGGGCTTGTTCAACAGCAGCAAAATGCAAGCTCACCAGTGTGTACCTAATTTTGATGGCAGTTTAGTTGAGAGAACCCTTCAGTACCAGAAATACCAGCTCGTGTGCAGTGGTTGAGTATAGCTACCTGTAAGATGGGATACAGAAGGAGGGAACAACTAGTGCCTTCCTCCCCCCTGCCTCCTTGCAAATCATGTGTACAGAGAGGGTTCTGGAGAATCTGGATGGGTCTGTGGGTAGATGCTTCCCCTTCGAGAACTCAGGCTTCAAGCATCACCTTACTTCCTCTTTATGCCTTAAGAAGGCATAGAAGAATTCCTTGAGAAGCTGATCTAAAACAATCCAGTTAAAAGGGAAAAAAAGTAGAACAGAGCCTCTCCAGAGAGAAACAATATCTAACTGGCAGAAAGGTAGACAAGTTATGGTATTTTACGGGAAGTGCAATACCACCTGACTCACTTGCTGCATTCAGGTCTGAGCTGCCTTAAGGGATTCATTTAAAAATCTGATATCGAACCAAACTGTATTCTGCCTGCTCCAGAAACTTTTCTGTGACACATGGAGTGCCAAAGAGACTGATGGTACATTATCTAGACTGCTTTGACTTCTTAGCAAAGCAGTGCAGAAAGAAGAATTTCTCTTTTTAATCCAGTGAAGCAGTTAAAGGCTTGGTGAAATACCCTCATGGCACAGTTAAGCTAGAGACAACTGCAGCTGTGAAAAGACTGTGTTAAGAAACAGGATGGTTGTGGTCTACTGTAAGAAATATTTTTCCTGTTGACTATTTTTTTAAATAGGAAGCTGAAGAACAAAGCAGCATTAGTCTTGGTGCTTTTAATAGGTTTCAGATTTCAAATATTGCATTTAGAATATGCTGACTGGGAAAGGATAGGACTTTGTGGAGAGTTTTATATAACGACTGAAAGCTACAAATTTGAAAGATGGGAATATAACTAAATTCAAGTGGATCCTCTGAACATGAAGCTGTTGTTTCTCTGGAAGAGCTTAACGTTCTCAGTAATGCAGCAGAGGAATGATTAGAGCAGGCTGGTCTGTTTGCAGGACTCTGTGAACTCATGCATTTGCACAGCACTGTGTAGGCTTGGCTTCACACAGTTTCCTCTTTGTCAATCACTCTGTCTATCTGCCAGCTTCCCCTCTGCTTTGCTCACTCTTTTGCAGTAACTGGAAGCAGTTTCTGCGTATGGGAGAAGAAAACCTGCAGGCACTAGTGCCTCACACCACTTGGAACTCCATGACTTTTCTAGATGGTCAGCCAGAGCTATGGGTGATGCATCTGACTCCTTCCTCCCTAAAGATTTTACACAAAATCCATTAAAGTCTTATTTCAGAAAATATTTATTCTGAGGAAGGTAACTCAGCAATTTGAGTGGGGGAGGGAAGGGAGGTTACAGCTGTATTCTAATTCTTCTGAAGCATGAGCATCTGATGAGATAAATCTGTACTTCCAAACAGTTTTTTCTGACACACATGGGTCATGTCAGAGCCATTACATACTTCGTAGGTGGTGACTCACTGCAAATGCCATTTTGTTTCATTCAGCACATTTTCCTAATGTTCATTTTAACTGTAAAGGGTACTGTACCTGGCATGATGTTGATTTGACAGATACTGTGCTATTACACTTCATCTAAAACAATTAAGTTACTTTAGAAAGTAAGAGCTGTGTGTTCATGTAAATGACTGCCCTGGGGACCTCAGCCATCAGCCTGGGGCTGTCTGGAGAATTGCCCTTGTTCCTGTCCCCACTGTGTTTACCTGTCTTATGCAAACATTATATAAGTGGTGGGCAAATCATTGGTACTAAAGGTGGCTCAGGTGAATGGCCAGCATGGGTGAAAGCTCAGATAAAAGAGTAAAGCACATACTGAAATGCCATAGCACTATTAGAAATGCTCCAAAGTCCCTGATAGGCGCAGTTCCAGTAAGCTGTGTGCCAAAATGCCACAAAAGCCCTTGACTTGAAAATACAGTCCTTCAGTCCTTCACACTTTGGGCTTTTCTTTTTTTTTTGGTTGTTGTTCCATCATTTGGCTGCAGTAGATCTCTATATCTCAGCTGTGACCCTCCTAGGATTGCCCGAGGCTGGAAATTCAGCTTGGGGTGGGGAAAAGTGGGAGTGTGGTCCTTGGGAGGGAAGCTTGTGAAAGGCTGAGCTTTAGAAGCCAGGCTTTTCTGTCTGCAGCAGCCTGCAGCTGAGAGGCCAGGCTGCCTGCTTGCCCTTCCTCCTCAGGAGAATATCCGGAACATGTTTGTGTGTGCTGCTTCTGAGGAGGAGGAAGGTGCATGCAGACATCATGATGGAGCTTGGGATCTTCAGAGCAAGCAGGGAGAGAGGAAGAAGCATGAGTCCATCCCAGAGCTCTGCTGTTCCACTCTACCCATAACAGTGGAGGTGGATGAATCTTCTAGCAACTAAAGGGATTTAACAAGTCAGCATCTCTTTCTGAGTATGACCCTAAATTATGATGCCTTCTTGAAGTAAGGGCTGATGGTATAGCTATGAGGCAATCCTGAAGCACTTCCATGGAACAAGATTGTTTGATTTAACAGAGTTCAATTTGGTTACTGCATTTTGTGCACTGCCATAGCAATGCATGGATTGTGTAAGTGTTCAAAACTGGATATATATCTACGAGTTTGTATGGCAGTGGGGATCATGTAGGGAGCCCCTGTTTAAAGATGCAGCTGGTTTTCATTAAAGTGCTTTTTACCAATTATTTAGAATTCAAAAATGTAGAAGATAAACCTGTTAGCTGCAAGGATTTTTTAGCTGAGTAGAAATTTATTTATTAAGGTGTATTAATCTCTGGACTTTTTGTGTTTGTGTTTTGCTGTGCAGGTTTCTTAGCAAGAGCACAGAGAGCTCAGCCTTCCACCATGCCTGTGCCTCCCCCTCCAGCTCCCCCTCCACCCCCAACACTGGCCTTGGTAAGTTTTACAGGAGGTAAACCTATGCACTATTCTCTGCTGCTGCTTGTCACTTTGAATAGGATGTCCAGAGATACTGAGATGTGGATGAGGGTATCCATGATATTTGTGGAAAGCTGTCCAGCATACTGTTTATGGTTGATCATTGATCCTGGAAGAACAACCATCACTTCGCTGTCTCCCACTTCTCAGGTGGATGTTGCAATCCACTCTATAGAACTCTGTATCCTTTTATTCCTCCCATATTGGTGGCTGATCTGGTGGACAGACAACAGCTTGTCTAATGGGGGTTGAAGTCTTGTCTGTCTCCAAACCTGTACTCCCACATTCTCCCTTGTTCTACTCCAGTATGTCCGTGACTTGAGCTGGGAAAAAAAGAAAATCCTGTTGTTTAAAAAATTTGATAAGGCAAGCTCTTAGCTAGCATAGTTCCCTCAGCCAGCCTGTGGTATCAGAGCACAGGATCCACTGCTGGCACAACATGGTGGGTGAATCTACATCGGACCTGACTTAAACTGGGATAGAGATTGTGCTGTGCTTGCCCTCCCAACAGTCAGTCACCTCATTGAAAAGAAGGAAGACTTCTTGAAATGCCATTTAGAAACACTTAGGTATTTTCAGAGCAAAACCCTAGCTGATTACACAGAATGGGCTGTCTTTCAAGAGACTTTCCTTCATTTTCCACCTCAAGCAAGATACAGACTCTGCTTGGTCCCTCCATAACACCTCTCCCCACCTTTCGGGAAATCTCCATAACACTGATTTGATAAATTAGAAAATGTTTCAGGAACCATTTCCTAGAAGAAAGAGCCATATATATGTGCATATAAGTGTATTGTTTGGAACTTTTTGTTTTTTCTTGAAAAATGTCACCAAAACATACAGTGAAAAGAGAGAACCGTTGAGACAAACCTCATGTGTCCAAAGGTTTTATTTGGTCTATATGAAGAGGTCAATATTATTGAAGTGGCAATTTTTAAGTATTTCTATCTAAAATAGTAGACAAAGGTCCATCTTTGCTCTGATTTATCTAGAAATTGTATTTCACCACAGCTTTCAAAGATGTCCACCTTCTTGTATAATCAACTTATGTGTCTAGTCTGTTCTTGTTCCGTCTCCCAAACGGCACAGATAAGCCTTGGCTTTAACAAATAAGAGATTCTAAATAATGAGTTAAATGTGAATTCACTTAGAAGTGTTCTGTTTCTAATGAATGTGTGTTAGAATAGCAGTAGTGTTGGGGACTTTGAGTCAGTAACAAGCCAGCTACCTTTAATATCATTCACAAAAGCAGACATGGCATGCTACCTACCCACTCCAATGCTGCTAAAACAGCCACTGAAGTCTGCCATATTTGAGCAGAACTTTGTATCTAGAAGTTGGGGTTTATTTTGCCTCCTTTTTTTCTTTTTTTTTTTTCAGGCAAATACTGAAAAGCCATCCCTGAGCAGGTCAGAACAGGCAGGGCGAAATGCTCTATTATCTGATATTACCAAAGGAAAAAAGCTCAAGAAGACTGTTACTAATGACAGAAGTGCTCCAATTCTAGACAGTAAGTATGACTCTACATGTTGGAATTTTTGCGGGCATGAATGATTCTGCAGATCTGAAAGCAGCAAATTATTTTATATATCAGATGAAAATTGCCACGAGAGTAGATAAAAGAAAGTGCCAGAAATTGGCATGCATAAAAATAAATTCTATTCATTATGAATGAGTAGTCAGCTGAGAAGTCAAGTATTGCTTATGAAATGTGAATGCTAATTTGTTTGCTAATTCTCAAAAAGTGATTTATTTTCCTGTTTGCTTATATCAGAAAAATATGCAAGTCCTACCAGGAGTTCTACTGAGGACCTGCAACAGATCAGGCAAACAAAACCCCATAAGGACTGAGGAGAGGACAGAGAATAAAGTGGAATTTCAGACTCTACTTTTAAACTATTATAAACAATATAAGAATAAATCTATTATAAACAATATAAGAATAAATGCATGCCTGGCATGACACCATTGGCTCCAGTACCACTTAGAGCAAAAGCAGAGCCAGAAGCTACAGCTCTACCTGTGTGTCACTGCTGTATGCAGTTTTGCCACTCCTGGAGTGACTCAGGGGTGTTATCTTTTTAGATAGCCCAGCAGTACTGCACAAGGCAGTGACTCTACTTACCTGAATGGAAATGAGGTCTCTATGCAGCTGTGTTGCTGCTCTCTCACAAGATGTCTCGCAGCACATCTTGGTAGGTGCCCAGAGGAGGCTGGAGAAGCCCATGTAGCAAAAGTATTGGGAAGGCAGAACAGAAACAGGAGAAAAGTGAGGAACAGAGGCTTGAGCTGACGGAGGAACAGCATTTATTTCCTAAGGAGAAAAGACACTTCTACAGACTGATTAGTAAATGTGATACACCTCAGTCTAGGTTTGGCCATGCAATTAAAGGCTGAACTCTGGTAGAAATGATGACAAAAGAAGGAACTGTCCAGAGGAGTGTGGCCAAATAAAAATAATTAAAAAAAAAAAAATAGATACAGTCCTGCAGTCAGCCAGCTACAGTTTTTAAAGATTATCTCTGAATGTGAAGTTACATATTCTAGCTAGAGTAATGAGCTGGAGGGGATTAAAGGAGGGGGTAAACAGATAAAATTAATGCAGCCTATTATCTTATTTTCATGAATTAACACATCATGATGACAGACTAAACCATGGTAGCAGCATTTCTCCAGAGGTTCACACCCTATCTGAGTCAGAGCTGAACTGAGCTGACATGCTTAAGAGAAGGATAATGTGAAACATTCCCCCATGGATACACTCTTCCTTTTTTCTTGGGGAAAGTTTTAGAAGTGCTTTTCATCCACAGGTTTTAATTACTTTGAAGTCAGTGAAATTTTTACCCACCCAAACTTGTGGAAATCAGGATTCCAAGAAATTAAGCAAGTGATCTTAGCCTATGTGGCCTGGCCCAGCATCTGAGAGCTGATCTCCACAGATATTCCAACCTGTGCACCTGCTGATTTTGCAGTGATGCTCTGAATAAGGCTATTCTGTTTATTGTAGTTGTGGAAACACTTTCATTTCACTTTTGGCAGCTCAGTTGTCACAGCAGAAATGTTGAAATTAGAGAGAAATGAGAGAGAAAAGGGGGAGTGCTGATAAAATAATTCCTGCCTACTGGAAATGTTCACAGCTAATGATCCTGTCACTGCACTTCTGAACCTACAGAAATGGCATCTCCTTTGTTACTAGGCTTTGTTTAAATAAGTAGATATGTTGCAATATCATCAGTAATGAGAGAATTCTGTGCATTTCCAGCAGTGATGCCCAGAGACACCTTCAAGAAGAGGGTCCTTCTGCCTTCTTCCTTCCTTCCCTTTTTCCCATGAGACTGCCCTGTCTCTGCTTATGGAGAAGTGGAGGGGAAGGATAAGGGAGCAAAAGTACAAAGAAACAGGAAGAAGCAACTAAGGTGCTAGCAAACACTACATTATGTTCTCAGAGGTCCCATCCACACTCAGTTCCAAATTCTCTGCAGCAATTTGCTCTGCTTTCCAGTCTAGAGCAGACTAAAGTAGTGATGGTATAATAAAACACAGAGGCTATGGTTATTGTGGTTATTGCACCAGCTCCTCCACGGAGCGGTGGTGGTAGTGATGATGGTAGCTGTGATGATCCAAACCTTGTGTGTTTTGAAAGTTCATCCATTTTTCCCCAGTTACAAGCATTACTCTAATAAAAGAGGTGACTTTGCAGGATCAGTCCTGCTTCACTAATATGGGGGATCTTTTTTCCCGACAGAACCCAAAGGATCTGGTGGAGGTGGCGGTGGTGGCTTTGGAGGAGGTGGCAGTGGCAGCGGCGGGGGTTTTGGTGGTGGCAGTGGTGGCGGCTTCAGTGGTGGTGGACCACCTGGCCTTGGAGGCCTTTTTCAAGCAGGAATGCCAAAACTCAGATGTACTGCAAGTCGAGATGCTGGTAAGAAAGACCTTGAATTTCCAGAGTGAAAAGATGATATTGCTTAAAACCTTCATAGCACTGCAATAAACTACCTGCTGGGATTGAGAAAGCCATCAAATATAGGGTCTTAGGAAATGTAATTTTCAGCTTGAACCTTGTTTTATTCTTACTATTAGGTTTTATGAGGGAGAAGCCAGACTCCCTTTCCACCCATCCTCCTTGTTATTGATGAAAGCTAAAGATCTTGGTAATGTTGAATGGCTACCTGCAAAGTACAGTCAAGCAGATTACATCCTGCCTTAGCTGTTGGGTGTGCAGGACAAGAGGGGAACAGGGGGAGGATCCAGCTAATTCTTTCTTGTGCACCAGGAAAAAGGATCTACTTTCCAAATGGAAAGTACTTGTGTCAACTCCACAACAGCATGATTAGCTGCTTTGGGAGTGCATGAGGCATCCCAACTGGCTGGTACACACACTGCAGATGGAGGCTTGTCTGGAGTGTGCTTCTGGCTGACAAAACAGCTGCCCCAAGCCTCAGGCCCCTTTAAACGAAGGACATCTGAGGCCACTGAGTTAAAATTTTAAGTTCAAGGACATAGGATTTCATACTTGTTGAAAAAGGGCTACGCTATGGGGGTTGTAGAGTGTTACAAATATTGCCTATTTTATAGCCTTACATAATTTTCCAGCGTGTGTACAAAGCAGTCTCTCAGAGCTGGCATTTTCTATTGTGTCACAGTCTATTTTTGGGAACTTGTATTAACAAAAGTTCCTGGCATCGCAGAATAGTACTAGTGAACTGCAGGGCCAGCTGCCTTCTTCCCGATGTGCACAGCTACATCCTTAGATCACAGCTACTAGAAAGTACTGAAAAGAGCTTTTTGCTGAACTTTTGTTGTTAAATGTAATTTTAAAGCTAAGATTTCTTTGTTCTCAGGTTGAGGGTGTTCAGTACTTGTTCTTCACCATTTCTTCCCTCCTTGTTTTATTGCTTACTCTGTGATGGCTGCATCACTTGTGTTACTTTGTGGCCACTTGACTCGTGCCTCATAAGCAATATCAGGATGTCACCTGGTACTCCGGAATGGTTTCCCAACGGTGCCGGGGCAGGGGCTGAGCCTCAAGGCATGGGTGCCCCGGTGCGACGGCGCTAATGCTCCCTCTCCTGTGTCCGCAGACGCCGGGGGAGGCCGGCCGCCCGTCCTGCCGCCCGGAGGCCGCTCCGCCGCCGCCAAGCCCTTCTCCCCGCCGAGCGGCCCGCCGCGCTTCCCGGGGCCGCCCTCGGGGCCGCGCTCCGCCGCCCCGGACCCGCAGAGGAGCCGCGTGCCGCCGCCGAGGCCCGACGCCGGCTCGAAGCCCGAGGCGGCGCCGCCGCCGGTGCCCAGCACGCCCCGGCCCATCACCTCCAGCCTGCACAACCGGGGGTCGCCGCCGGTGCCGGGGCTGAGCCGCCAGCCCAGCTTGGGGCCCTCGCCGCCGCCCTTCCCGGGCAGCCGGGGCGCGGGGGCGGCCGCGCCCCTCCGGCAGCCGGGCCCCGGCGCGGCGCCCCCCTTCTCGGGCCGGCCGCCGCTGCCGCCCACCCCGGGCCGGCCGGCGGAGGACAAGCCGCCGCCCCCGCCGCCGCCCCCCGCCGGGCACCGGCCGCCCGCCGCCCGGGAGGCGTCTCTGCCGCCGCCGCCGCCGCAGAACAGCAAGCCGCCCCTGCCCGCCGCCCCCCGGCCCGCCCTCGGCGCCCCGGCGCCCCCGCTGCCCCCCGGCAGGCCGGGGCCGCCCCCGGTCCCGCCCGCCCCCGCCGCCGGCGACGAGATGCCGCGGCTGCCGCAGAGGAACATCTCGCTGGGGTCGTGCCCGGCTCCCGGCGGGGGCCGCTCCGGACCGCTGCCCCCGCCGCCCGGAGAGAGACCGCCGCCGCCCGTCAGAGACCCGCCCGGCCGCTCGGGTACGGAGCGGGACGGGCGGCACGGGGAGAGGGAGCTTTGGCCGGGACGGGCAGCACGGGGAGAGGGTGCTTTGGCCATGCCCGCACCAGCTTCGCATGCACGACAAACACATCCAGGATGATATCCCTGTTAGGCACTAGGGATTCTGCAATTGGAAGTTAGGGTTTGTGGGCGTCAAGGTGGCTTAAAGAAAGTCAAAATGCATCAGCAGTGTGCTCACGTGTACTTTTACAGATCTTGGTAACTTTCATTATGGTCACTGTAATTGAAGACAGTTGCAAAGGGATTTCCCCATTACATTCTTTGATGCAAAGAAGCTTCTGGTAAAGTCTGACTTCTTTGAGTCAACCAGCATGAGTTAATGGTCGTGTTCTCACAAGTGGAGGTTTGTGGAATCCGACCTTCTACGTGTTCAGAGACACAGACGCAGGCAAATACAATAGCTTTAATAAAAGACCTAGCCGACAGTTGTTAAATGTAATAGCACTTGTTACAGCATGACTAAGTGTTGTTACTTACCATATGTAGATATCAAATGAGACTAAAAGTAGAACTGTCTCCTTTGATCAATTTCATAATGTACTTTGTCCTCTGTGACTACTGTTGGTCATAACGTTTAGCAATTGCACATCATAACTCAGCTTTCTGATACCTGATAGTTGTCCCTTTGGAGACGACAGAATTTAGGGACAATCGAGCCCTCTAACATCAGGTGGAAAAAAGCATTGTGCAGAAGATACTGCTGGGAAACTCCATAGAATTACCTTTCATTTCATCCTCTGGAATAAACTCAGAAATCCTCTCTAGCCTGCCCAGTCCTAGACAATAGAAATGAATGTCATGGGAGCTCCCACAGACAGGTATGTTGCTTTGCAGCTCCTTGAAGCAGTCTGGAGCTCCAGCACCTACAGCAGTTGCACAGAAAATAGTAGCCCTATACCTGTGCTTTGTGGAGCTGGTTGCCAGCCCAAAGGATGGCACAATGCTGGTGCAGCCTGCAGTAAATAAATCAGAGAAATTCCATTACAATTGATGAAATTGATGGATCAAAGTTGCTGAGATTATCTGCAATTATTCAGTCACTTCCAAGAGTTTGTTCTGTGGTGGCCTTGGCTTCCACCAGTGCTTTCCTAGTTGACCCTTTTCTTTGGCAGATGGTTTTAGCAAACCTGCACTAATTTTCTTCTGGCTCAGTAAGTAGAAGGAAGTTGTAGCAATACATTCTAAACATGAATGCACCTATTCTGTAGCAGTTCAGTATAGACAATGGAGTTTAGCTAGGTTTAGAGAGAGCAAGCAAAACTATTCTCAAAGTTGCTGAATGCTTCTCATTCTTTGAAACCATTCCCTGAAGGCAAACTTCAGTAATTTGTAAACTAAGAAGTACAACATGTTTCTTGAAATGTTTCAATGCTTGTTGCTTGAGACACAATATCTACTGCTCTCTTTTTCAAAGTGCATGTCTGTAGATAGATTTCATCAAGACAGGGAAGCATTTATTGAAAATTAACATAATTGTCAATTGCCCAACTGCACCAAACAGAGGAAGTGAGACTTTGGAACGTGCGTAACTCTCCACACCTTCTTTGTATCCCAGCCATGGGCGCTTCTCTCCCTGGCAGAAGCAGCTTTCCTGTCTTTTTTTTTGTAGAAGCACCCTTCCCCTGCCCTCAGGACAGCCCTGGGTCTGTATTATGTAGGCTGTGCCTTTGTATTTGACCTGTCACGTCCATTGCTGGGAATGCCAGTCCACGTGTGAGGTCTGTTTCCAGTTTACAGGGAGATGGATATGTTCCAGCTACTGTAAAACCTGACATGCAGCTCATTTGTTTATAAGTGAGCTGATGGGCTGCTGCCTAACGCGGCCACTCCTGGGCAGAGCTCCCCTGTGCACCATCACACACCCAGAGCGAATCACCCCCATGGACAAAGAGCCTCTGAAGGTAGCAGGTGGCTTCTGCTACACTACCTCTTGCCTTGCAATGATCCATAAAAAGGAAATGTGTTACAGTTCAGACCTCCACAGCACCCTGAATTTCAGCTGTGACTTCTGCTTGTTGTGGCCGCTGTTAATTTAGAGTGGTTTAAAAGTAGCTTCAAGGACCAGGACCTTTACAGAGGCTTCTGTAGCTGAGGGGAATAGGAATGTGGACACTGCAATGTCTTTATGTTTGGATACGTCCTGCTCCTCTGAGCCGTCTTTCCAAGTCAGCACTAAATCCCTAGAGAGCCGTGGAGAGCAGGGAAGTGGGTGCTGAGGGCCATTAGCCCTTGGGGCCAGGGGTGCTGAAATAGCCCTTTTTGTTAGCGGGAGCCCTTGGGATGCCAGCAGCGGCTTTCCACTGGCAGAGTAACCCCCGATGTTAACAGCATTTGTGTGTTTGCTTCTTGCCTTGCTCTAGGCCCGCTCCCACCGCCGCCTCCCATAAGCAGGAATGGCAGCACGTCGAGGGCTTTGCCCAGCACTCCCCAGCTGCCCTCCCGGGCAGGGCTGGACAGCCAGAGAGGCGGAGCGCGACCCCCGCTGCCCCCGGACCGGCCCGGCTCGGCAGCACCGCCGCCGCCGCCGCCACCTTCGGCGGCTCTCAGAAACGGCTTCCAGGATCCCGGTGATGGTGAGCCATCCTCCCAGCTGTTTGCCCTCCATAGGGACGGTGTAGTGGCTGAAATGGTTTGGGATAGAGACTTTGTTTCTAGTGCCAACCTTTGATTTCTGACCAACAGAGGTGTCACTTGGGTCTCAATTGACCCCAGCAAGTAAGAATGGAATAAATATGTCGTACATAGAGCAGGATTGCAAAGTCATCAATACAGTCTCCAAAATAACCCTTTGAAAAGCACCCTGAAAAAAGGAAGGGGATTATTCTTACATGAATTCAAACCACAGCTACACCGACACTTCAAAAGTCAGAACAAGTTAGATGACTCAAAAGCTGAAAGCTGAAAAGCAGATGAGTGAAGAGATTGTCAGAAAATTGCTGAAAATGTCAAGTATCTATTTCTGCTGGTGTTTATTAAAAAGATGAGGTCCAAGATTGCTGTGTTTTAAAGATTCGGCATGCTTTTCTTTTTAATTGTTTTCTATTTGCATGGAAGAGATAAATCCTTCCGTTAATTACAGGAGGCCAAAATTGGTATTCCTGACATTTATAAGGTTAGAAAAAGGCAAACAGAAAATGAAACTATAACTCATGCTTTTGAAACATCTTCACACATCAGATAAGGCAGAAGGATCACAGGCATATTTCTTCATGTGCATGTGATTTGTAGGGTTCAGAACATGCAGCTTCTTTACACACTTGTTTCTGATTGCAACCATTGGAAGTAAACATACAAAAACTGGATCCAGCAAATAACCACATGTACAAATGCCAGGTAGAACTTACTCAGCTGTTCATTACATTATGCAGTAAAATACAGCACTATCTCAGAAAGCTATGGTTGCAAAGTCCTGAAGCAAGAAAGTGAAAAAATGACAAAGTTTAAATTAGCCCACACTTTCTTCTTAGGCTTTCAAAATCAGGTGCAGAGCAGAGCTCTTGGAACACTTCCTATTATTTCAATGAAGAAACAGGTATGCTTGCTTTATTTAGAATTCTATAGACTCAGTAAGTACAGAAAAAGGGCCCCTGTAGTCTAAAGAGATATAGCTTCAAGTGATATATTTTTCCATTTTTGACACTAGTTATATAAAGGATTCTCTGTAAGAAATTTTAGCATAATGGTTATTTTTTCTTCTTCCAGTATAAATACTAAGAGAGAAAAAATAGTGCTTATAGGAGTGTGCTTTTAATGATGCTTCTGAGCTTGGTATATCAATGACACTTGAATATGGAATTCTATACCAGGAACAAAATACTGTTCCGAAGTAGGAGAAACAGGGCAGTTCTGGTAGCACATATATATATATGTGTGTGTGTGTGTGTGTGTGTTAAAGAAGCAGATCTGTTATACATGGAAGGGACAGTAAGAGTTATTTTCGTGGAATTATGGCTGTTTTCCCTATCTGTAGTTTTGCATAAAATTGGCAAAATGATCAGTTAAAGTTGATAGAAATTTTCAGTCCCAAATTAACCTAAAGCATCATCTTCGCTGACTTCCTAAGAGAATGCTGCTTCAGTATGCAGCTGTGTAAGCATTTTGCAATTTAAAACATGCATTAAACAGGATGTCAATGTCAATTGACTTGATAAGCTATGTCAGAAAACTAATGAGTAAAATTGCATGGGATATTTTTCAGATGAATGGGAAAGCAGATTTTCTTTTCATCCAATATCTGATTTGCCGCCTCCAGAACCATATGTACCCATGAACAGAAGTTATCCCAGTAAACTAGCAAGAAATGACAGTAGAGGTAAGTTGGAATTTCAGTGTATTGTCCTAAAACAAATGTGCATGGGGAAGAGTCTTGATGCTGAGGTTTCCAGACTTCTCAGGCTAACAGTCTGGTCATCCTTCCTCACCACACAGGGAAATCTAAATACAAGTTCATAGGTATAAGCCCTCTAGAACTTTTTAAGTGGGGAATTGTTTGGTTTTTGAGTTGAAACATGTACTGTAAGTGACTAACTCTGCCATTATAGTCAGCCCTTCTGCTCAAGGCCGCCGGAACCACAAAATCCCTCAGGACTTTCACCTCATTTCTCATCTAAATTAATGCACAACTCATTTATTTTTGTGCCAGCATCATCCTTGAGTTTAGTTTTCCTCTCTTCTTGTGTGTTAAACTCTGGATGTTTTTTAAGGCAACAGTTGTATCCTACTCTCAGTTTTTGTTTTGCTGGGCTGATAAAATCCGGACATATTACGCTCTGCTTCCAAGCCGTGTTCTCTGATCATCAGAACTGCTTCTATTTGTTTTTGTCTTTTTCAATCATTGTTCCATGCTGTTCCAGCTCAAGTTTCAAACATGTCTTCTACAGCAGCATGGATGTTTCCTATCTTTTTTATGGTATTTTGCCTGATCAACTACTTCTTTCACAACCAGTGACATTGGTGGCTCATAGTTATCCTATAATCATCTGTATATGCATATGTTTCTCTCCTGTTTCCAGATGATGAAGTTTTTGTTTGAAGCAGAGATTCCTGTTAGTCTCTGACTGTTTACTTTGCCCTGGTAGCTTTCATCCCATTTGTATTTGTCCACAAAGGAAGGCAGAGTAACATATGTGGGTTTTTTTTGTGTTTCCTTTTATGAGTTTGCTATGAAAATTTTCATATAGGGAAAACATTAAGAGCTTTGAAATTTACTGTGTTTAGAGCTTGCCACTTCCTTGAGATTCACATGTATTGCAAGTAGCAATGAGAATTTGTGTGTTCACATGAATCAGTAAGGCTAGCAAGAACTATAAGTCTGTTTCAGGAAGGGGAAAATGGACCAAAATACATGTGATTTCCAGGTATTAGGGATTCCAGCATTAGTTTAAAATGTTATTTTACAGTGTTCGAAGTTCTGATGTTCTTTAATAAACTAACCAGAAACTCTACAAAGATTTTTTTTTTCATGGCCAGGCAGAAAATTAGTAGATCTTCACCAGTTACTGAATTATTTGCTTGAATGTAAACTCCCCCTTCAAAAGAAGAAGTATTCCAGGAGGAGTAACACCAAAAAACCTTCTTTCTCTTTTAGGTGGTTCTGTCCGAAAAGAAAGAGGTGCCCCCCCGCTCCCACCTATACCAAGGTGAAATGGGTTCTGGCCCATCTTTGGGTGACATCTGTTCTCAAGTTTCCTTCGAGTCAGCTCTCCTGTCCCCATGACTGGAAAGTTGTCTGTCGTGATTGATTCCACTTTTGGCTTGTCAGCTGGAACAAACTTCAGTCTCTATTACAGAAGTAATAGATGTGGCTTATGGACTATAGTTGCTCAAAGGTCTGAATTTTATTCGCTTAAACTGCAGGCATTTGTGGACCCTACAGAACATACATGCATCATGCTTACCGTGTCCATCCCTGTCCCCCGGAGAGCTCCGTGGGAGGTCTGGCTTTGAATTTGATAGAGCTTGAACAAAGCTGTTTCATTTGCTTTGGGTACAGTAGCTGTATTATTTTAATGATAAAGTATTTGATGTTTAAAAAAACAGTTGCAGGGTAAAAAGTGTAGCCAAGCATCCCCTGGATCCTTCTTTGCATGCCTAACTCAGCCTATCTGCTTCTGCAAGCCATAGACCTACTACATGGTGACAAAGAATTCATCTTTAGCTTTTTCACTTCAACTTAGTCAAGCAAATCGTAAACAATACACAACACATCCTGCCTCAACGATAGAGTGCCCCTGGCCTTGTTTTTATCTGCAGAGAATCTTCCAAAAAAAAGCACAAGTGAAGAATTCATCAGCATAAAAATACATATATATTTTTAACCCTCTTTCCTATTTTTTAATAGTGTTATGTGTTCTGTGACCTAATTCTCTCCTGCTCTTCTGTGGACCAACCCACATCATGTCATCTGTGCCTTGGATTACTGTAACGCCCTCTGCCTGATGCTGCATGTGAAGAGTCCTCAGAAGGTAGTCTGAGTGCAAACGCAGCAATTATTGTAGTTGCAGGCTCCTCCTGTAAAGCATCACTAATGTCAGTGCTCCACAGACTGCTTTCCAGCTGTTTCTTTGGTACAACTAAATGACGGAGTTTGATTTTAAAAGCTTCTTGGCACTTAGGTCACAAGTTTCAGAGAGCTTGTGTTTGACTTCTATTATGGTAGAGCAGCTGAGGTCAAAAATGTTCCTCAGTGAAAGCCCTGTGATGTTGTGAGGGGGGTCCGGGGTTTGTACATTCAAGCAGGAGCATCCAAAATTTGCTGTCTGCACTGGTTCAAGAGAAATGGAAAGATTTGGTCTTCTGAGTTGGCCATGAAGCTTGTCCTTTCAAACTTTGCTGAAAGAATTCTCTACAGAGAGCTGCAAGGCTTACATTGATAGAAGAAAGAGTAAAGTATTCTAACATTGTGGCAAGTGGTTAATATATGTAATGGCTTTTGAATTTTGTGTATGAGAAAAGAGCTCATTGTATGAGTGAATTTTACAAGTGGACCTAAGTGCATATAAAAAACGCATTTGGAAATTGGAGGACGATTATAATGCTGGATTTGAAATATTGGTGAATGATAGTTCTTTGTTAATTGGACCTCTGAAAAATGTCCCCTCAGTCTCATCAGCAGTACATTTCTTCAGTGTTTTCCTTGGGATCCCTACCGAGCCTGTGTCGGCAGCTGTGCTTCACAGGGTGTTGCTCAAAAAAACCCAAAATAAAACATAGAAACTAGTCATGTAGGTTAAGAAAATATTTCTCTAGCATGGGAGATATCATCCTAACTACACGCTGCGGCTAGAATGAGGTCAGTCCTTGAAAATCTAGGGAATTCAGCCAAAGAGAGTCTGGACCCTGCTGGAATGTCTGTGAATAGGGCTTTTGCTCTGTCTGTGAGCAGGGAGGGGCAGATCTGCTTTTGGCCTGGCAGTCTGGACATCACATTGAAGGGAATGAGGCTAGAGTTGGATTTGGCCAGATCAAATTTAATTTGGTCTTCACAGTGTTTGTTTACAAAATTTAGTTAGCTGTGACAGCATTTGATTATTTGCTTGTTTTTTACATTTTTGTATCTAATTACCTATTTTTAGTTACTGTTTATGGTCTTGAACCTGCAATTGAATGCGCAGGCGCAGAGATGTATCTACATCCAGTTGCAGGATCGTGGCTGTAAGAGTGTCTTAAACAGATCCTGGTGGGACCTCCATGTGACAGGTGCACCTTGGGATCAAACCTGGCACAATGCTGAATTTGTATGTGTATTTTATGGATGTCACTTAAAGTGCCTGTCTCTTTGGGATGTTATTTTGTGAATAGAAGTCCAAATAAGATTTTAGGCTAATAATTTAAAGGTTAAATTATTGTATTCCTATTTTAAAACTGAAGCACTTAATACCTTTCTAAGAAACAATAGTTTGAATTCAAGAATACAGTATTTTTAGTACCTTGACTTGCCAAATCCTTGTTAATATCCAAATAGCTATGCAGTCACAAAAAAAAAAAAACCCAACCCTCCAGAAATTATATCTTTTCTATAACTTACCTGCTTTCAACGTAACTGTTTTATTTTGGTAAGTCGATGAAAATGCTGCCCAATGTTCTTCCAATACTCTGTATCATTCAAAATACCCTGTATGTGATTGTTTCAGCAAGGTTTTCTGACCAGAAATCTGGACCACTACCAAAGACTTGGAAAACCAGCTTCAGTTTCACTTTAAAATGTGTTGTGTAAAAGGCCCCCAGTTAACAAGCCAAGAATCCTGAGCTGCTTAGGTTTTAGCAATTATTTTTTACTCTAGAAACCTCTTCAGAATAGATGTTTGGCATACATGTAAAATAGCTTAATACTGCAGAAAGGGGCATTTTTGTTCACATAACAACAGCATTTCCATTTATATGTTTTGCTGTAAAAGTCCCTAGATATATTCCAGAACAATGCAGCATTTTATCATTCAATATATTGCTTCACGTAGCAGTGGCTATTTACAATAGGATCAGTATTAAAGTATTTATTTCACTATGAAGTGTTAAAAAAGAATAATACAAACCAGGTTGAATCAATGGTGCCTTATGACTTTTTTAGTCAACTTTTCTGTGTCTCAATAGAAGAATTAATAGACATTGCTCTTCCAGGTCCTAACTAAATAGTGCTGACAGTAGCATTTTACAGTGTTTGAGCCGAGCCCTTCTGTTGCTGTGTGCTCAGTCTGCTAACTCCAGGTGGAGCTCAGCCTATGGAGATGCCACTGGATCAGTGTCTAGGTGAGGTGTATGTGGGCACTGGTTGGCTTCACAATCAATTGCTGGTATTGCTCTCAAAATTCAGACCTGTCCCAAAACCCGTGTCTGATGCTGCTGTCCACACAGCCCAGCTGACTTCAGTCAGTGTAATTGTATAGGTTACAGAAGTAAATATGATTCACTGCTTGCATATAAGATTTGCTGGGTTTGTTTCAATGGCATTGTCTTATAAACCTTCACACCTCAACCTATCTTCTTACGTTACCACTGAGGCTTGCACTGTGTGACAACGGCCATGGATGTTCGTTTTTGTTTAATTCAACTCCATAAATAAAATGAGAATAACTTTTGTACCATGTAAAAATAATTTCGCCTCTGTATTTTTGGAAGAAAAGCACATGTTATGCTTGTTATGACTTTCTGCACCAGCCATTGGGAAAAGAGGTCCCAGTGATGAATCTTCGGAGTTGTTAAAGGAAAGTCAGCTTGTGATTCAGGAAGTGTATATTTCTATAAATGAAATAAAATAATATGGCAAAGTTCTTGTTTAAAAGCCAGCATTTTCCAACACTAAAAGAATCATAAGGTTTGTTTTTAATTTTCTGCAAGACAGCACTGTGGAAGAAGTTCCTTATATTGTCAGTTAAAAACTGGGCAGTAGTTTCTCCTTGCAGCATCAGCTGTTTGCATGACACTTGTAAAAGTAGATCTGTCTTGGAGCAGGGGATAAAGGAGCTAAACTGCTATCATGCATCACATGTATTGTAACACAATCTTCTGTACAGAAGTATAGAAGTAGAAAAGGTACTTTTTGCCTTGGAGGTAAAGAAAGGAGTTGAGTGATCAAACAGATTATTTTAAGCAGAATGTCAAATGTTGAAAGACCTAGAGAAGGCCTTTTGGCCACAGGACGCTGGAAAAGAGAAAATTGCTCAAGGAAATAAAAGCCATTTGGCTGAATGTCATTACCAGAACTGGAGTGAAAAATACGGTATAAAATGTGCATTTTGGAGTTCCACATGGCAGTGGTGTGAACACCTTCGTCTCACAGCTGAGTGCAACAACCTGTTACAGCGGTACATGGACTCCATGGAACACAGATTGTGTGAGCTTTCATCTTTCAAACAGTATTCATCAGAAAATAAGGAGAATCTCTCACCTAAGATACTCAGGAGCACTTTAAGTGCAAATTCATGGAATGGTTCTTCATGTACACTGGAGGGATCTTCTAGCCTGTAAGATGGTTGTGTTTGGACCATTCAGTTAAAATCTAAACTGGAGCATTGGCAAAGAGGGGAGGATTGGAATAACTTGGGCAGAAGCAGGTCATGTGTGTATGGTCCCAGTGAGTATGCAGCAGGTGGGTATGCAGATTTAGAAAGCAAAAATGGAAACTGTATATCTTAAGGGAGTAACCTTGTATGTATGTTGCCATTTTGAAATACAGTTTTCTGTGGTAAATATTTTTTACTGTAAACTAATGCGTGCAGAGGAAGACTTCTTAATTTGGACTTCCAAAGCCACGCAAGAGGGAGGGAAACATAAAACAGGCTGAGCAAAAAGTAACATTTCTATCCAATGCTTAAAGTTTGAGCTTTTTATAAAATATTAATCTAGTTCTGTGAATTTTTTTGCTTAACATTTATTTTGTAAGTGATTTTGTTCTTATTTTTCTGTCCTATACCAAATAAATTTTACTTTTATTTAATTGGTGATGCAGACTGTTACATTGAGGACAAACACAGTTACTTCTTTGACAAAAGCACATGCTGGCTTTAGCAGGAGCATAGCATTGAGCATGGCAAGAGCTGGGGTGAGCTGTTCCCCTCCTCTCCTGTCTGCCATTGGACAGCAGCACAGCAGTAATTCTCAGAGGACTTTGGTCCTACATACAGTGAAGGACACCTGCAGATAGGAGAAATAATGAGTTTACTTTGGGATAAAGAATGACTGAAAACCAGTGGTTTGTGATGCTGTACTTGTAAGTGGCTGTTGGGTGAGCTGTGGCCATTGGCTCTCGGCAGGGCAAGCTAGGCACTTGCCAGGGGAAGATGACATGGAAAATCACTGTAGTTAAGTGTAGATCTTTATTTGTTGAGTCTCCGCTCACAAGGCAGAAAGCTGCCAGGGAATAAGAAACAAATTAAACCCTCCCTTTGTCTTTGGAGTCCTGTTCTCTATCATAGGTGTTAAGCTTTTCAAATAATTTGGACCAGGTTCATCAAAGACAGACCCTTTGATAGAAGTCCACAGGAGGTTCACATTTGGGCTGCACTTGCAGCTTCTCCTCAGAAGGGTCATTTAGAAAGCTACAAAGCTCTGTACTAAAGCTCATCTATCTTGAAAAGAGTTAAGCATCAGGTTTACTCTCATGCAGGTTGCGGATCCTTTGACATCTCTCAGGACTGCTCGTTGACACCTTCATTTCACAGACTGACCAAGACAAAGACCACTTTCTTAGAAGACCACCCACCCTTGTGTAGCCTGCAGACCCAGGAATCCTGGTCCCTGGGTTAAAGAAACAGAGAAACCATGATGGAGAGTGGGGGGACACTGGTGAGCTGTAATGGAGCTGGCTCAGTAGGCTGAGACCTTTGCAGATCTCAGTGGCAATAGCCTTGAATGAGAACACAGAGGTATGAATCTAATCATCAGCTAGTAGGGCTGTCTATTGCATGTTTTACCTAAGAAATCATGCTATTTTCTGGTTTTCAAGAAATCAAAGCACTTGTTTGACTTCAGAAAGAGAGAACTGAGCTGAGCATTCTGTGATTTTGTCATAACCACAACATAGTCCTTTCTTCATTTAACTCAAAAAATGCTGCTGATTTAAAAGAAACCCATGGGCTACCCTGTAAAACAGTTCTGGCTGCTCCCTGCAGTTGCAGGAAGGCTCATGTGTTGCACACAGCACACACATAAATGTGCAACTCCTTTGATCATGGTTCAACCGTTTCCAATGACCTTCCTGCCTCCTATGCACAGGCTGCTCCCCTCTGCCCTCTCACCCAGTCTGACTCCATTTTACACTGAACATAGTAACTTAGTCCCAGCAAATTACTGATTTCAGAACTAAATATTGGCCCATACATCTCTGCAAAACACATAATATATTATTTAGGTTAGCTAATGAAATAGATCATTGGCAATCAAGCTCTTAACGTACCTAAAGATTTCAACAGCAGTCCAGGTACAGAAAAAATGACTGGCACAAAAATATTTTGATTAAACATAGAAAATAAATTGTGTGGTTGCTGCTAACATTACCTAGTGTCCAATATCTATCTGTCTACTGAACAACACCACCAGATGATCTCTTTAATCCTAAAACAGTGGCTTAAGATACTGGACGTCAGCAAAAGCTACATTCAAAATGTAAAATCGCAATCTATCCTGAAAGCCGTCTATATGATACTTCAGTAAAGCTCTTATCAGTTCCATCATTTTTCTTTGTTATTCTCACTCTTCTTTTTCCTGCGGATAAAAATAACTTTTTTCTTCAAGAATGCTGAGATTCAGCCTATATAAATACATTTCTCATTTTCAAAATGGAATTATTCTTGTTATTTTCTCTGGGGTTTTTTTTTTGGGTTTGTTTTTTTTTTTGTTTTGTTTTGTTTTGTTTTGTTTTGTTTTTTCTTGCTAGCATACAGGAGATATCTCTGCCTAAGCGCCTCTAAGTTAAAGGTGGGTAGACAGGGCTGTTGGTTGCTGTCCATCGTTTCACCCTGCAAAACAGGGACAGGGCTTTATCACTGTGCAATGCCCTTCCCAAAGGGGACCACTGGCTACCTTTTGCATGTGCCTATGTGCAAAAAAATTTTTACTCCAACCTGGTGTGAACACTGTACAAGATAAGGCCTGTAACCAGTTCCCTTCTGAAAATGTTTTTGTCTTCATGCAAAGATGGCTGTTTAAGCAGTGGGTGTTGGGTATAACTCAACTTGAAGGAAGCATTCATGTATATAGGGATGTGAAAATGAGTCACTCCTGTCCTTCTCCTTTCTAGCAGAAATTGTAGTAAATTCAGAGTTACTGTGAGCCCTCGTGTGCCCTGTGGAGCAGCAGAGCCCCTGCATCTGAAGGCTGAGCACTACTGAGCCACAAGAGCCAAATGCAGCTGAAGCAATCAGAGCACTTTGAAGAGAGCAAGGTAAAGGCTGTTGGTGAAAGTCCAGACTGAAACCCCAGCCTCTGTCATAGGTATTTTGATACTGGAACTATTGTACCTTGTAGATAACAACATTGTGCTGTTGTGAGAGACTGCAGAGCCCATCAGTACTTTCTGTGCTGTCTCAAAACCAGCCCTCACTGCAAACTGCCGAAATCTTTCTGTTGAAGTTTTTTCCCGTCTTACTTAAAACAGAAACTTTCACTTCTGCTATTTGACCAGGAGCTTGGCTGCCTTATGAAACCTGAGAGCCTTTTTTTGAAAACATACAGATAAACGATCCTTTCCTCTAAATACATACTTTCATCTCCTGAGCTGTGTCTGCAGGACTGCTGCTGTGCTTTCATCCAAGTGCCAGTCAACTGGGGGGCTGGTGTATTTGCTCTAGTTTATTGCTGATTTAGAAACAATACCCTGCTGTGTGCTTTAAGAGAATTACCCTCTCTGCCAGAACCTTCATTCCTCCCTCTCTTATACATATGGCCATTTATGAGCAAGGGGAGGAATTGAAAATATATTTTTTTAACCGGGAACGTGTCTAGTCCAAGTCCAAGCATGCATCAGAAGATGAGAAGCCTTGTACGTTTGTTTGTTTTTAACCGAGCAGGTGCGATGCAGCCGCAGTTGTGTCCGTGCCGCCGCTCCGCTCCGGGCCGCGCGGGGCCGCCACCGGCCAGCCCGGCCCGGGCACGGCGGGGCGGGGAGGGTGCGCTGCTCCCTTCCACCCGAACCTAAACTCCTTCATCCCAAACCGTCTGTGAGGCTGCGCACATCTCAGCCTTTTAGGGATAAACGCGCTGTTTCACCGCCGCGATTTCGCTCCAGATGCATCCGGCCTGACTCTTCATGCAGTTACACAGTTCTTGGGCAAGTCAAATGCCAGTATTGGCATTAAAATGATGCAACAGAATAATACACCTGCCTGCTCCATTGCAGTTCAACAGAAAGCAGCACGCTATTAGTCCTAAATAAATCAAGTCTTTAGCTTTAACTGCAGCTGGAGAAGGAGCTAAGAATTAAAACAAAACACCTTTTTAAATTGAAAATGCCAAGTGGAAGTAACAGAGAGCTTTAAGTAAGCTACTCTGTTAACACTGCAGTCTTAAAATCAGTACTTACTCAAATAGTTAAGAAAGGAAATTCTTTGTATTGTTGTTGGCCATGAATTTAAATGTAGCGGCACACTGCGGAACATAATGAGGAAAAGGTACAGTGGCTTTCTGCTGGAGAATTCAGGAAGAAGAGAGTTTGTTAATCCAGTAGCACGAAGGATTTAGCGGGGTAGTTGGTAGTGGTGAAATGAATATGAAATAAATAAAAAACTACTGGATTTCTATCACAAGAGGCAATGCACTTCAATCTATGCATTTGATGGACAACATCTAAGCTGTATTTGTGTAAGTAACAAATAGTGGCTTGCAAAATTGTGGGATATGGTGTGACCAAAACTGGAAACTTAGTATATGGAGAGACTTTATGAACATGTGGGTCACATTCTGAAAATATTTCCAAAGGTTTTAATTTGTGATACCAAAATATCACAAATTTGTGATTTTGGTTTTGTGAGTTGTTTGGGTTGGTTTGCTGGGGTTTTTTAAGGGAGGGGTGGTGTATCTGGTGGGATTTCTTTATTAATCAGTTGCTTGCTGAATAGGTAACAGCTGCAGCAGGTCACACACCAGAAGCAGCTTATTTAAGCACTTGCTTTAAAATGGTTTTCCTGAGCAAAGGAGCATCTGCTAACTTGTGTGTAGCACCGATAGCTCTCCTAGTTCTGTTTGGTTTTTTTGGCTGGGGCTTTGGACTTTTTGGGGTTTTTGAGGATTCAGGCCAAATTTGAGAAGCCTTCCAGTGACTGAGCACTCAGAGTACTGAGAACATATAAGTAATAAGCTGCCTATGTCAAAAAAAGTGAATAGGTTTTCTTAGGTCAAGGAAGAGCTGTAACTCTTATGTCCAGTTCTTAATAATTTTACCACATACTGTTAGTGTGCTAACATGTGAAAATGCTATAATAGAAATATTATAAAAGTACTTAATATTTTAAGTGTCTACATACAGTAGATACAGCTCTAATCATAATATGAGGCAAATGGACAAAACTTGATAATGATTTTCCAGATAAAGTATTTGTAATCTGTAAGTTAAAACAGTGGGGTTTTTTTTGTTTGTTTGACTTTTACATATTTTCCCCAGTTGGACTAGTTAACCATGTAATTAATTTTTAAGTACTTGCATCTGAGTTTAGCACACTTAACCTTCTTGCTGAGCCAAGTAAAATGTTGATGTCCTATCATTAAAGATGGAATTTGTATATTTAGGAGGTCTCTTCAACTTTGTTTTGTTTCCTCTGAAAGCAGTTTTAGAAAAAAACTTCTAGTGTTAAAATCACATGGGGTAATTTTGAACTTTATTTAATTCCATGGAATTTAATTTGAACTTTTCTTTGTTTTTTTGCTTTAGAGAGGTGAATTTCACCATGTACAATATTTACTGGGCCTAATTTCTAGAGCAGTCTATTTCAACACACCTGAACATACATAATTATTGCTAAAGTCTTTGACTTTCTGCAATTTGTCTGTACTAGCTTAATGTATTTTCTTTTGGCAGATACAGTATTTTGAAGACTATAATTGCACCTTCAGTTCTGTGGAATTGTCTCAGCCACAGAACAAAGTAGAAGTGAATGAGAGCAGTATGGTAAACATGGTTTCAAAACCAGCTTGGACACACGCACACTGTCTTACAAAAGATGCTATATGAAAAATACCAATTAAGTTCCCGTAACCAACGCAGATAATGAGGTGTACTACTGTGAAATTATAGATGAACTGATAAATTGCTTTCTTAAGAAGGAAGTTCTTTTACAAAAGTGTTCCAAGGTAACTGAGGTGGATGTAAACATCCAGTGCATCCCTCATCATTTCTGTGTTAACAAGCTTCAAGTTTATGAGTAACACTATCTGGCATTCTCCTGTGTTATATTGCTTTAAGGACACAGAATTTCTCTCAGGTGTTGGAGTTTTCTATCTAGGCCTCAGAAGTTTTAGAAATGCTTTTTGTTTGACACCACCCTCCAGAGACACAGTCCAGGGGCCTATTTCCCGATTACAGATTAATTTTCCTCAGGTTTCCCTTGTTGCTTAACTGCCTCATCAGCCATCTGTGTGTTGTACACTATAGTTTGCCAGTAACCATGTGAGTCAGTGTAAGTGACCAGACACATCTAGGTATTGATAAGCACTTCATTTTCTTCCTGCACACCCTACGCACAGCTCTAGGAGAGCAGACATCAGAAACCAACAAACTTTCTGAACCCCGAACTACAGTTTCAGGTAACCACAGTTAGACAAGGCATTTTTGGGTGGAGTCAGCTAAGAACGGTCAAGCACGGGTCCCTGCCTCGTGCATTATATAATCCATTTACTTGTTAAGCAATGAGCAGTATGAAAAGGGTATTTTTTCCCCAGTATACTGGAGTTACAAAGCCACATTGTCTGTAGGTGTAAATCTAATGTTCATATAATTGTGGCTCATTGTCAATAACCAAGGAGCATGAGGAAGTATTTTTCCTGTGATTGATAAGGAGATTACCTAGGAAGTGCTAATGTCTCTATCCATTGCTGCAATTATTGTGTTGGTAAGATACTTGGATTTTTCCATGCTGTTGAAAACTAGGTGCGCAGCTGTCTGGAAAATGCACTGATATTATACCTGTAAATTTCCAGACACATTTCATCCTGGTGCATTTGCTGACATTCTTCTTGTCTTCTCATATTCTGTATTCTTTTTTTTTTTTTTTTTTTTCTTTTTTTTGGTCTATTCTTGGAAAAGGTATGTTTTTCTAATACCCTACAGGAAAGGTTATTTAGAGGAATTTTCCACATTTTTAATCAATAATGCTGTCTTGAAGCTCACCTGACACTTGCTACTGTAAGGCAAGGCTTTCAGTTATCACCACACCCTAACAGTTTGACTACAACTTCTATGCTAGTTCTCTAGAAAAACTAAAAATCCAATTTTGGTATTTTCAGAAACAAACTGCAGAAATGTACTTGCTTACAGTAAATTCTGTGTGCTTTTCTTCAGAATACCCCATCATTTCAGCTTTTGCAACAAGTGCTTGAGTTTACCAGTGAAGTAGCCTTCACACCTTGCTATGTTTACCAGTGAAGTAGCCTTCACACTGAGTACAAAGATACATTTATGACTTCCCAGAAAACCTTTCCAAACTGGCTCAGGTGTATGCCTTTGTAAAATGTTTTTTATGCGGTCACTGCCAATTCTTGAAAAGGACATTGTCTGAAACCTGCTCTCACTGAGAGAGTGAACCTCTTGCAGTTCCTGTGTGGGCCCAGCCTGCACACGTGTAATTGTTGCAGGGAAATGAGTATGATGAAAGCCACAGGATGACTCATGTAATGGTCGCTCCAGCTGCTTTTCATTGGTTAAGCTGCTGCCCAGATCAAAAAGCAGGAATTGTCTCCCATATCATCTATTGACTACTTTGGTGGCACATAACTGCATGGAAACATCCAATTTGAGTGAAAAACAACAAAAATCAAGGGCAAGAGTAGTTAATGATTATACAATGTTATGTTAAGGGAATGCTCAAGAGGATTAAAATTTTGGGGACGACTTTCAGTTTTGTGTTTGTTTAGTGGCTTTTGGAAAGCTTGGCTTTGCAATGGCAGTAACTGTGTTTTGTGATCCACAGTTCAATTGCCAAAGCTGAGTTGCCAGCGGAAGAGGATAGCTGTGATCAAGAGCTGATGGACTCTATAAACCTGTCCTCCCAGGAGTTTGTATACAAAAAACTACCCTTTCCTGTGCATTAGTCACACTGTTACATCTGTGGGTATAGTTATGTTTGGGGGTCTAATTAATGCATGGGTGCTTTTTGATATTTATGTGGGTTGGATGAAACTCCAGGAGAATTGATTTCCATGGCTCTCACCCTTAGTTTACAGAGATCTTAAAAGGAAAAAGAAATTAAACTCTATAATAAAAGCAGGATGTTGGAACAGAAAGATGCTCCAAGGAGCACAAGGGGAAGTTCAAGGTCAGAGAACATGTGTCTCAAATAAAGCACCTATGGAGCTTTGGTTAAATTGAGGGAGCAGAGAGGAGGTGTCAAACAGTGAGAAAATACTGTCCTTTGCTGTTCTGGGAAGCAGGACTTTGTATGGTCTTCGGATATGGTCAGCAGTATCCTGTATATTGAATACTGCTTTAGAAAGATTTCTTGACTTCAACATTAAGTTATCATTGATAATTATCCGGACTGAAAAAAGCCAGAAAACTGTGTTCCTAACATTTCCCAGAACTGGTCCTGTAATCTGATGCTTGAGTTATTCACAGTGCTGTTCTGGTGGTACAGTCTGGTTAATAATGATTTCATTTTTCTTAACAGGGCAAGGGATAAGACCCTAGTGTTCTTCTCTGTTCATCTCAGAAGAGGCTGCATGTCAAAGAGAGATAGTTGCTAGGCTGTATATAATATGCTTGAAAAGATTAAAATCTGCCAGAGGAAATATGCTATATTAAGTCCTATCTATATACTTTTATTTACTTAGACAGCAGCTATAATAATTTTATTGTATTTTTTCACATGTGTTGATACTACATTTTCACACTTTCAAGTATTTTACTTTTTTGGGGTTTTGAGGTTCTTTACTTTTTTGAGTATTACACTTTTAATTTGTTTGTGTTCCCCAAAAGAAGACATAAGACTCGGGTCAAGTGTGCTTACCTGATTTAGCACACTGGGTATGCCAGAGCTGAGGTGAAAACACAGCTCTGTCCTGTTACTGCTGATCCCTTGGGAAGTCAGCCTGGTGGCTGGTGGATATCAATAGTAGTCAATGAGCAGCCTATCCAGCCAAATGTATGCTCTTCTCAAACAGCTAAAGGATTCATGTATTTTAAATACTTTATTAAATGCTAAATCACTAATGATCTTGTCAAAGGGGGGAAAATGCATTCAAGAGAAGGGAAGGCATACATTTTTACCAAGAGTTCTTAGTATGGTCTGATATACCTCCCTTGCTACTCCCCCGAGAAGGTCCCTCTAAGGTGTCGTTTCTATAGGAAAGAATGAAAGACAGAAAGCCAAAAAAGACCTTATTATACTGTATTCCCAAAACCAGATCCCAATCAGTCTGAAAGTACTCTTTGTCAGGTGCCAAACAGAGAAAATTCAACAGTGAAAAAATTAATAAAAGAGCCTTCTTTATTAGTGTTTGCATCAAAACAAAATCTCACCCTATCGTTATCAGTGGATGAGTGTTACCCAACAGGTTGCACCACCTTCCAGCAGTAAACATACATAATAAACCCTGGCACAGCTTTGGAATAATCCCTTGCTGATCTTTTGCTTGGGCTGGGTTGGCCTAGGGTTGGGACAGGATGTAGACAGGAATGAGAGGCAGTGAGGAGTCAAGCACTGATACTGATGCTTCATGTCAGCTGAGGTTCTAGTAAGTGTATACACTTCTAGTGCAGAAGTATAAAATTTAAGCATCAGTATCTTTAAATTAAATGTAAAGCAGACATATGCTATCAACAAGGTAGTACCTTCTAAAAGTTTCTAAGAGCCATGCTTATCCTCACAAGTTTCTGTCCCTGTCTGCATTCTTTACAGAATTTTCTTAACCGGACTTGCAATTAATTCCCTTAAATGTTATTTCTGTTATGTTGCTACCCTTGCTATATAAGTTTCTGGTAAGCATTTCAACAGTAGACCTTGTGAACAGAAATAAAGATAGAAAAAATTCTTATCTGACACAATGCTTCATAAATTATCAATCACATACTTCTTTTTTTGGTTGAGATAATTCTCCATTCTGTTTTGGGTTTTTTTTTGGGTGTTACCTGAAAGGGAAAGAGGTTTTGGGTTTTGTTTGTTTGTTTCCTGGAAGTTCCTTGGAAGTTGTTGTTGTGTTGTTGTTGGGGCTTTTTTTTTTTTTTTTTTGTTTGTGTTTGTTTGTTTGTTTGTTTGGGTTTTTTTTTTAGTATTTTTGAGGGTTTTTTTTGTGCTGGAAGCTTGGAATGGGAAGCTCCTGCGCACACAGACTGGTCGACATTCCATCAGTCGGGAAAACTGCCTTACCCCCAGTGGGCCACCTATTGCCACTAGTTAAGAAGTAAGGCAAGCTGGTCTGAGTTTGAGCAGGAGGGGAGAATAAGGTTCACTGAATTCTCCCCTGCTGTCTTTGCAGTGGTAGTATCTGTCTTGGTTCTGAGGAAAAGGGCAGCTGGAACCGCTGTGCCCTCAATTGCATTACAAAGGGAAAGCCTTGAGAAAAGCTGCGTCCTCGTTTTCTGCAAGAGAATCTTTGGCCATTACCAGTTTTAGTTTTTACTGGGGAAATTACTGACTGGCCAAATCTGTGGAACCGGTGGCACGTGGAAAACACGGTGTTTTATTTCCAAGCGCTCCGACTGCTCGGGAAAGCCGGAATGCGTGTGGGAGGTTCGGGACCGGCTGCTGCCGGCAGCCGGCGCGGCTATCGGGCCCGCCGAGCTGCGGGTGAGGCTGGCTCGGGCCGATAACGGGGGTGAACCTCCCGGCCTCCCGCCCCGCGGGGCGCAGCTGGCGGCAGCCACGAGGGGCGCCCCGGGAGCGGCCGGAGCTCGCTCCGCTCTCGTTCTCCAGGGGAGGCGGCTCCCGGCCGCGGGAGAGCCCCTCGGGGCCGGGGCGGCGGCGGAGACCCGCCGCGCCCGGGCCGCCCCCCGCGCGGCGGCCGCCGAGCCGCCATCTTGCGGCCGCTCCGTCCCCCGCCCGCGCCGCCCGCAGCCCCGGCCTGCCCGTGCCGGGGCCGCCCGTGCCGGGGCCGCCGCAGCCCGCCCGGGGCCCGCCCGCCCGGGGGCTCAGCCGCCCGCGGCGCCGGGGCTGTCGCTGGCGGGGCGGGCCGGGGCGGGCCAGACCTCCCCTCCCTGGCCTCGGTACCGGCGGCCTCGGCCTTAGAGCGGTTCTCAGTTTGGCAGAGCACAAACCCTCTGCACGCACCCCTGTGCGGAGGCGCCTACCGAAAGCTAAGTAGGTAAGCTGCCCGCTCATTTCCCCGGCTTCTGGCGCTGTTTTCTGCTGAGGCGGCTGTCACGCAGGGCAGTGCTGCTGGCTTTTTATCTTTGCAAATGCTGTGTGCTCCTGCCTGGGGTGACCGTGGGAAGGAGAGCAGTGATGGGCCGGGAAGGGGCAGGCGAGAGGTTGGTTTTGTTGCAGTCTCTGGCTGCAAGTCAAAGGATTTTACATCCCAGTTTGGCAAGTGGTGCACGTGAGGTGCTTTTTAAGGGCCGCTGGCAAGAAAATGTTATCTACCTTTTGAAAAATGTTTTGCTGTTTACTTCAGAAGTATGTATCTATTTGTTGACAAGCCCAAAGATCACCTGAAGTGAGAATTAAGGGGAGGTATGTTTTTAGTTCATTTTCTGAGTGTACATTGGGTGCCGCTGGCAGCTGTTGCTTCATTTGGTCCTGCCTGAGCTCGTGCACCGCCAGAGGTTTGTGGAGCTTGAAGTGCTGCTGTGTGAGCTGTGCCAGTCGTGTGCTCAGGGCAGGCCTCGCTTCCCCGGCTGCTCCACAGCCAGGGGCTTTCTTGGAATGGCATCGTGGGAGGAGGATGCCAGAGGAAATGTCATCTTGAAAAACAACTGCTCAGAGACACATATAAGGTGTGTGATGTTTCTTGTGGCATTGTCTAGGTTTCCAGATATAGGTGGCCCATTTCTTGTGCTAATTGGTGTTGCGATATTGTTCTCTCTCTGTTTTCTTAGCCCAATAAAGAAAAAGGTAAAAATTGTAGTTAACTTGCAAAAATAGGAACTGCAGTAATCACTTCTTCCCACTTACTTTTATCATTTTATCTCGCTAAAGTTGCTTCCTCTTTGACTTACTTCACAAATTTTTACATGAAAATGCATGTACTATACGCTTATCTTAGCTGAGAACAAGGTAGTAGAGCTGCTATGAGCAGCTCTTCCTACCTCAATTCCATTTTAGTCTTCCTGAGTAAAATAATGTGTCATCCTTACATTAAAGTAGGGGAGTTTCTGCATTGCAATAAAGTAGGTCATGTTGTGGGTTATAATTTATGAGCAATGTGCATGGTCTTGCCAGTGTCACCGTATTATCCTGAGAGTGATTATCAGTTGAAAGCTTAAAAGTGAGAGACCAGAGGGGAGGTATACATTGAAGTTATCTTTTTTATTCACTCATGCTGTCTTTGACTTTCATTAGAAAATGAAGATGAAAGGGATTTTCCCCTTCCTTTGGTGAAGGAGACAATTTCTCTATTTCTGTACTCGGAGAGGAACCTGATACTGCTTAACTTACAGCTGCTGGAGAATTGAGTTTCTGGTCTGGTGAATTTTAAGACTTTGCAACTATTGACAACCTACAAGAGAAATGTTTCACGGGGAGTTTAAACTGCACTTGTTACTTGCTCTGTGTCTATTGTTGGTCTTCATACAAGGCTTCCTCTCGTGCAAGCTGACAGTCTGGCTGCAAGCAGCTATGCTTGGCACAGTCGACAGCAGATAAGGCAGCATTATTCCTTAAATCTGTGTCTGTATTGGCCTCCAGTTCCCAAAAATGCAGCTGTGGCTGAGTTCTCAAGGATTCAAATCTCAATCCTCAATCCCTGAAGGCATAACTACAAATCGTATGTTCTATAGAGTCAAAGCTAAGTGCTTTCCCTTGCAAATGTATTATAGTGTCATTTGTCTGGTTAGTTTGCTACATCTACTATAAGAACAAGCTAATTTCTGTGTAGAATATATCAGATTTTGGGTTTGCATGAGGTCATTACCTCTGATTTCATTTAGAACTGTGAATTGAAAATAATTTCACTCTTGTGGGATGCTAGTTTGATATAAGCCTGAGGTGTAACAAGGCTCTGTATGAAATCTGCGATTACTCATTACATAATCTCACAATACTTATATAAATATCTGTATCCTATAGAGCAAAAAGTGCTGAGAGGTACTCACTGTGTTATGCAGAATGCAAAAGCTTGCATTTCTGGAGAACACTGCTTGGCAATAGAAACTCCGCGTTAAATAAAAAGGGTTTGGGATGTGCGTGTCTCTCGAGCTGAAGAGATGATTCATTCTCAAAGCCCTCTGAGGAGTGCCAGGAGCAGCTTTTACTGTAATGGAGTTCTTCTCTTTGAAACTCATGTGGTTTACCAAAAATTTGTCTTGTATGACTTGACAGGGTCCCTTGTGATGTAGTTGAAGGTAGGCTGAAGGAAGGCTGCAGGAATCTATCTCTCTGTCTGTCTCTTACAAAAGATGGTTTGGGATGTGTGGGTGTGTATCCATGTCAGTTTTGACCTAGTGAGGAAGATAGGTGATTTAGTATGTGCTATTGACTGATACAACATAAGAGTCAGTCATATTTGTTTAAGTCCTGAATTATGAAATGGGGACAAGAACACTTCTATATTTTGTAGCAATTTTGTGAGGAGAAATGATGATTTTAATACAGAACGAAGAGAGGCTTGTCATTAGCCTTGAATAGGAAGGCACAGGAGAAGGAATGCTAGAATTTAGGGATAGATACAGTTGAAATACACTCCCACTACACATCAAGTGTTGTATTTGGTTAAAAAAATTCAGCTGTATCTTATTGCTGAAAAAAAATACCTTGAGAGAGAGCAGGTTGAACACATTACACTGCTGGGAGCCTTACCTCTATGCAGTGCTATAAGCTTGGAGAATTTGACATGTGGCTGTGCTGAAAACCTGTTTTTTATTTTGCATCTACTGTAGAATGTGGCTGATTTCTTTCAAGGATCAGTGTCTCTGATTCTCTTTTGGACATTTTCCATATTCCAACAACATCCTTAAGTTTTTTAGTAGAAGAAATGATTTGTTGTTTGCTTAATTTCCTGCGAGTTTTCCCATTGTTCTGTAGCAAATAATACTTTGAGCTCCTAGTCCAAATAAATCTATGCTAATTTATCATCTATAATATAAGGAAGTACAGCCTTTAAAATAAACCTTACTTGGAGTGAGACTCATTTTCCTTCAGAGAAGGGATAGCCAAGGCTACTGGACAGATTTGGATGATGCAGCAGCTCAGTCCAGATGAGTTACCACAGCATCATAGAAGTGCTTACCAAAAGCCTCAGGCATACATAAAAGTCATGAGTCAAAGAGTTGAAGCTTGTGAACATGTATATGCTGGATGCCAGGGTGTGAAATAGACCTTACAAGACCTCACCTTTGCATTGACTTGATTTACTTGCTTACTTACCTGGCTGCTATGTTCTATGTTCCTTGTGGATAGGATACAAAGAGGCTGGGGAAGACTCTTAAAACAGTTGTTAATTTGCACAGATTGTACCGTACAAAGCATTGTTTGGGACTTGGCAATTTTGGCTTTGCCACTGATACCTTAAATAGCTTAGGGGAAATCAGTTTACCTTTGCCTTAGTTTCTATCCCTACAAAGTGAGGTAAGTCATCTTGACTTCCTAAACAAAGTACTTCAGGATTTAGTCATGTCAGAACTTTATGTGCAGAGTTACCTGATGGACTGCACAGGTTTCAGAGATATATTGCCAAAGCCATATCTGTTTCTGGCAGGACCTCGCTATTGACCAACGAATATTTGTGTTTGATGTCCACTCTCTTCATCTGATTTGCAGAATTGACATGTCTACTTGCATATAGAACCTGCAGTGTTGTAATCAGCCCTTTCAAAGGGAATTGCTGCTAACAAGTGAAG